TGTCTGTAATCCCAGCACTTTGGGAAGCCAAGGCAGGCAGATGGCTTGAGCTCAGAAGTTCAGGACCAGCCTGGGCAACATAGCGAGATCCCATCTGTATTCGTTGGTTTCCACACTCCTATAAGGAACTATCTGAGGCTGGGTAATTTATAAATAATAGAGGTTTAATTGACTCACAGTTCCACGTGGCTGGGGAGGCTTCAGGAAACTTATAATCATGGTGGAAGGCGAGGGGAAAGCAAGGCATGTCTTACATGGTGGCAGGAGAGAGAGAGAGCAAGAGCGAGGGGGAAACTGCCAGGCACTTTTAAACCGTCAGATCTCATGGGACTCACTAGCATGAGAACAGCATGGAGGAAACTGTCCCGTAACCCAGTCACCTCCTTCCAGGTCCCTCCCCGGACTTAGAGGGATTACAATTCAAAATGAGATTTGGGAGAGAACACAGCCAAACCACATCACTGTCTCTATAAAGAAGAATACAAAAATTAGCTGGGTGTGGTGGTGCAGGTGTGTAGTCCTGGCTACTCAGGAGTCTGAGATGGGAGGATCGCTTGAGCCCAGAAAGTCAAGGCTGCAGTGAGCCAAGATCACACCATCACACTTCAGCCTGGGTGACAGAGCAAGACCCTGTCCCCCCCAGCCACTAAAAAGCGAAGAGTCTTGGACCCACCCAGGACCTACTGAATCAGATGTCCTGGGGGTGGGGCTCAGAAACCTGTTTCCTAAGCCCTCGGGATCCCTGGAGAAATCACTCAAGTTTGAGAATTGCTTGTGTAAATTGAACGCTTGAGATAGAACTCTCCTTGAGCTTGTGAAACAACACCATGAGGAAACAAACAGTTGCAGTGTGTGGGACATCCTGCAGGAAAACCATTCTGGAAAAGTTAGAATTCAGAATTTCAGTGTTTCTAAAATATCATGGGTCAAAGTGATAGTGAAGGCAGAATGTGAATTCTGGGTCCTGGTGAGGGTCGGAAGGAAACAGCTATAAATATATTCCCGGATAACTGGGAAATTCAAGTGATACTATATGGAATTTGTTTTTTTGTTGTTGTTGTTTTGTTTTGTTTTGAGATGGAGTTTCGCTCTTATTACCCAGGCTGGAGTGCAATGGCGCGATCTCGGCTCACCGCAACCTCCGCCTCCGGGGTTCAGGCGATTCTCCTGCCTCAGCCTCCTGAGTGGCTGGGATTACAGGCACGTGCCACCATGCCCAGCTAATTTTTTGTATTTATAGTAGAGACGGGGTTTCACCATGTTGACCAGGATGGTCTCAATCCGTTGACCTCGTGATCCACCTGCCTCAGCCTCCCAAAGTGCTGGGATTACAGGCTTGAGCTACCGCGCCCGGCTTGTTTGTTTTTTTAAGACAGAGCATCACTCTGTCACCCAGGCTGGAGTACAATGGCACCATCTTGGCTCACTGCAACCTCTGCCTCGTGGGTTCAAGTGATTCTCATACCTTCTGAGGAGCTGGTGTTACAGGCGTGCACCATCACACCTGGCTAATTTTTGTATTTTCAGTAGAGATGCGGTTTCGCCATGTTGGCCAAGCGGGTCTCAAACTCCTGGTCTCAGGTGATCCACTTCACCTTGGCCTCCCAAATGCTGGCACGAGCCACCACGCCCAGCCTGGAATCGTTAGTATTCTTTGAATGATGATAGCATCATGTTTTCAGGTGAATGAAGTCCTTTTTCTTTTCTTTTTAAGTTTTTAGTTTATTGATCTGGTGAAACAGCCGCAGCAGCCGCAGACAGCACCCTTGTAGCCCCTCCCCTCCTCAGGCCTTCGAGGCCCCATGACCTGCTTCGTTCCGTCCCTGTGTTCCTTCCATTGCTCTTTTGAGGTCTTTTTCTTCTCACACAGGCCACGTCTTGCACGCCTACGTGGGTTCCTTTTTCTTTGCATAATCCAGGGGATCATCGATCATGCCAAAGTCCATTGTCTCGCCACCACTAAGACGAGTTCTGAATCCAAATACAAAGACGACATCCAGGGTGGACTTGAACATTTCGGCGAGTTTTTTCCCGAATTCTGTGTTAGGCACTGTTGCCTTTCCGGGGTGAAGGACATCAGTGACTGTTGTTTCCTCTGAAGTAGTCAGTTGGTCGTGAACTTTCTAGTGGGGATGGTTACCCTGTCATTCACGATGGTGGTCTATCCTCACACAGCCAGGGAGGAAAAGAAAAAGCTGGATGACGTCTTTATTCTCAGAAGGTGCATGATGCAGTGTGATGTGTACATCTTTCAAATGGGTTATTTTAAAAAGCATGTAAGTAGAGAAAGTATTTGGCATTTTTTTTTCTTTCTTTTTTTTTGAGACGGAGTTTCGCTCTTGTTACCCAGGCTGGAGTGCAATGGCGCGATCTCGGCTCACCGCAACCTCCGCCTCCTGTGTTCAGGCAATTCTCCTGCCTCAGCCTCCTGAGTAGCTGTGATTACAGGCACGTGCCACCATGCCCAGCTAATTTTTTGTATTTTTAGTAGAGATGGGGTTTCACCATGTTGACCAGGATGGTCTCGATCTCTTGACCTTGTGATCCACCCGCCTCGGCCTCCCAAAGTGCTGGGATTACAGACTTGAGCCACCGCGCCCGGCGCATTTGGCATTTTTTAATAATTGTTCAGTCTAGGTAGTTTCAAAAGGAATATTCTGTTCTTTCAACTTTTTTGTTTGAATTTCCTTAAGTCAGGCACACAGAGGATGCTACTCTTAACGTTTCATTGCATTCTTGAGATGAAACTCGTGTGTGGGGACCAGATAGGATCAGGTTTAGCTGAAACAGAAATCCAGCATAACATTGGCTTGACTGAGGTGGATGCTTTTTTCCCTCTTCTACGAAAGTTCTCAGGAAGGTGGTGAGGCAGGTTGTTTGGCTCTGTTGCATGTGGTGCTCTGAACTGAAGCACCTTCCATTTTATTGTTCCTCCATGAGTGACTTCTCTGCCCTCATGTTCCAAAACAGCTGCTCTAGTTGCAGCCATTGTGTCCACGTTCCTGCAGGCAGAAGAGGTAAAGGACACATGTCTGCTACTTTTAGGGAAAGTCCTTTGAAGCTACTGCAGAAGACTTCCACTTACCTCTCCTTGGCCAAAGCTTAGTTATGTATCTGCAAGAGAGGCTGGGAAACACTTTAATCCTAGGCAATTGTGTGCCCAGCCTGAAAGTGGGCATTTGTTACTACGGAAATTGAAGAACAATTTGCAGGCTATGCCCCACTGTCAGAGGTGTTTTACTAAAAGGTAAAAGTTATTTTTTATTGTATTTTATTTATTTATTTTTTTTGAGACGGAGTTTCGCTCTTGTTACCCAGGCTGGAGTGCAATGGCGCGATCTCGGCTCACCGCAACCTCCACCTCCTGGGTTCAGGCAATTCTCCTGCCTCAGCCTCCTGAGTAGCTGGGATTACAGGCATGCGCCGCCATGCCCAGCTAATTTTTTTTGTATTTTTAGTAGAGACAGGGTTTCACCATGTTGACCAGGATGGTCTCGATCTCCTGACCTCGTGATCCACCCGCCTCGGTCTCCCAAAGTGCTGGGATTACAGGCTTGAGCCACTGCGCCCGGCCAAAAGGTAAAAGTTATTTTTTGAAACAAAGTCTTACTCTCACACAGGCTGGAGTGCAGTGGTATATCATGGCTCACTGCAACCGTGACCTCCCAGCCTCAAGTGATCCTCCCACCTCAGCCTCCTGAGTAGCTGGGACTATAGGTGTGCGCCGCCACGCCTGGCTAATTTTTAAAAAATTTATGTTCTCTAGAGATTGAGTCTGTACTAATCTGTTTACACACTGCTATAAAAACATACCTGAGGCCAGGCACAGTGGCTCACGGTTGTAATCCCAGCACTTTGGGAAGCTAAGGAGGTGGATCACTTGAGGTCAGGAGTTCAAGACCAGACTGGCCAACATGGTGAAACCTCATCTATACTAAAAATACAAAAATTAGCTGGGTGTAGTGGCACGTGCCTGTAATCACAGCTACTCGGGAGGCTGAGGCAGGAGAATTGCTTGAACATGAGAGGTGGAGGTTGCAGTGAGCCTAGATTGTGCCACTGTACTGCAGCCTCAAAAACAAAACAAAACAAAACAAAAAACCTGAGGCTGAGTAATGTATAAATAAAAGAGGTTTACTTGACTCACAGTTCTGCGTGGCTCAGGAAACTTCATTATGGCTGAAGGCAAAGGAGAAGCAAGCACCTTCTTCCCAAGGTGGCAGGAGAGAGAGAGCAAAGGGGGCAGCTGCCACACACTTTTAAACTCTCAGATGTCATGACAACTCCCTCACCATCTCAGGAACAGCAAGGAGGAGACCACCCCCTTGATCCAGTCACTGGCCACGAGCTTCCTTCCTCCGCACATGCAATTCAAGATGAGATTTGTATGGGAACACAGAGCCAGACTATGTCAGGGTCTCACTGCATTGCCCAGGCTACAGGTGAAAGATGTATACGACATGAAGAGAAACCAGTGTGTGGAGAGGTTTTTTTTTGTTTTCTTTTTGAGACTGAGTTTCACTCTTGTTGCCCAGGCCAGAGTGCAGTGGTGCGATCTCGGCTCACTGCAGCCTCTGCCTCCTGGGTTCAGGCGATTCTCTTGCCTCAGCCCCCCGAGGTGCACGCCTGGCTAATTTTGTATTTTCAGTAGAGACAGGGCTTCTCCATGTTTGTCAGGCTGGTCTTGAACTCCTGACCTCAGGTCATCTGCCTGCCTCAGCCTCCCAAAGTGCTGGGATTACAGGTGTGAACCACCACGCCCAGCCTGGGGAGGTGTTTTAAATTCAACATGGCAGGCCATCTTAACGGGTTTACCTGGATCTCCTCACCGAGCTTAGCGTGACTATCCATGGAAGAACTTCCTTGAGTTCCTTGGATTGTTGCCAGGGCCTTTTAAGCCCGGCAAGCCAGCTCAGGCCAGCTCTGTTACCCAGCTGCACCTTGTCAAGAAGCCCCTGGCCCCTGTGTAACCAGCCCTGTTCCTTTTTTCTGTCCCGCAGTCTCCAACCTGTCCCAGTATTTCAGCCCAAACTCGGTGTCCAGCAGCCCGGCCCGCGCGCTCCTGCTGGTCGGTGTCGTCCTCCTGGCCTACTGGTTCCTGTCCCTGACCCTGGGCTTCACCTTCAGCGTCCTGCACGTGGTGTTCGGCCGCTTCTTCTGGATCGTGCGGGTCGTCCTGTTTTCCATGTCCTGCGTGTACATCCTGCACAAGTACGAGGGCGAGCCGGAGAACGCGGTGCTGCCCCTGTGCTTCGTGGTGGCCGTCTACTTCATGACTGGGCCCATGGGCTTCTACTGGCGAAGCAGCCCCAGCAGCCCCAGCAGCCCGAGCAGCCCCAGCGTGGAGGAGAAGCTGGAGCACCTGGAGAAGCAGGTCAGGCTGCTCAACATCCGTCTCAACCGGGTGCTCGAGAGCCTGGACCGCTCCAAGGACAAATGAAGGTCAGCTGGCCGGGTGGGCCCACAGTTACCAGCGCACTGTCGCAGAAAACGAAAACAGAAAAAAAAAAAAAACCCCAAACAATCTTAATAAACACGACTGACCGAGAAAGTGGCACTGTGTGAGGGTATTTCCACCCATCCGGCAGCTCTTAGGACACGTTCCCAGAAGAGCGGAAAGATCATTGACGTGGAACTACACACAAGTGTCATTAGTGGGAAAAGTATATTTTTTAAAGGATAGAACCATATTTAGCTGTACAGTAAGAAATTTATCTGTGCATAGAGCGTAAAGTTAATTTTTCCAAGCATTTAGATACATCTTTTGTAAGGTTTTTTAATAAAGCAGATTGAGTCAAGTTTATCAAAACTTTACATGGAGGGGAAGAATATGCTAATCTGACATTTGAGGAAAGTTTAAATGCGTTTGTTTTCGCAGCTTAGGGATCGGTGGGTGAGTTCTGTGTGTGTTATTTTCATGTTCCCAAACTGTGAGCTTTATTTCATGTTATTTTTGGTTGATGTTGACTTAGTTCATGAATGTTGTCACTTCTAAATGTGGACAGTCGGGCTTCGGGCTGCGACTCAGCCTCTCGGATCCCGGAGACCCCTGCCCAGCCCCCGTCCGGCCTGTTTCTAAATGAAGACATCGCCATTTCTAGAAGACCTGAGACTTTCCTCCCTCTGTGCTTCGATGTACTTTAATCTCAACGTTTTGAAAAGGAAAATGCAAGGAGGGGCCAAGAAATGTCTTGGGGATTTGATGCCAGGAAGTACCTGGGTAAGGACTGGACGTCGCGCCAGAACCTGTTCAATGTCCCAGTTCGCAGTTTGCTCACCAGGCCTCTCTAAGAAAGCTGTACCCTTGAGGGTTTTTTGGTTTCATTTTGCTTTGGGTTGCCTCAGGACCTTAGAAGGAAAACCAACTAGTAGCAGCTAATAACATTCTCAAGTGTATTGCTGCCGAGAAAGAGTCTCAGGAACAATTAGCAGCAATAAGCAAGCCTTTGACAAGGTCTAAATTATTTTTCCTGAAATTTTTATGATACACGTTAGGTGCTTTTTATCTGAAATCTGTTGTGTCCTTATTTCAGGTGGCCTTTGTGGGCAGAGAGTGGGACGTGCGAGATGGACAGCTGTGGGGGTCCCGGGCAAGGGAGCTTCAGAAGGTGTGGGTTAGGGGCTGGTACCAATGCCCCTTTGCTGGGACTTTTTTTTTTTCTTCTGAGACGGAGTCTTGCTCTGTTGCTTAGGCTGGAGTGTAGTGGCTCGGTCTCAGCTCACTGCAAACCCCACCTCCCAGGTTCAAGCGATTCTCCTGCCTCAGCCTCTTGAGTAGCTGGGATTACAGGTGCCTGCCACCATGCCCCACTAATTTTTTGTATTTTTAGTAGAGATGGGGTTTCACCATATTGGCCAGGCTGGTCTCGAACTCCTGACGTCTTGATCCACCCTCCTTAGCCTCCCAATGTGCTGGATTACAGGCGTGAGTTACTACAACTTGTCTTTTAAAAAAGGAAGCCCTAGGCCACACACGATCTTAGCACTTTGGGAGGCCGAGGGGGGTGGATCACCTGAAATCAAGAGTTCAAGACCAACCTGCCAACCTGGTGAAACCCCCATCTCTACTAAAAATACAAAAATCAGTCAGGCATGGTAGTGTACGCCCGTAGTCCAGCTGCTCAGGAGGCTGAGGCAGGAGAATTGCTTGAATCTGGGAGGCGGAGGTTGCAGTGAGCTGAGATCGCTCCACTGCACTCCAACCTGGGTGACAGAGCAAGACTTAATCTTAAAAAAAAAAAAAGCCTAGTGTTTTGTAGCTTTGAAGCTGCTGGGGCTCACGCCGTCTCCGTGGCCCTTGCCTGCCCACAGATGCGCCCTGGCAACCCACTTGCCCCCTGCATGCAGGTTTGTAGATTCCTCTGCCAGAGCTGCTAGGTCCAGGTCTCAGTGTGGAGAAGAGTTAGCTGTCTCCCACTGCTTGTGTTGTGTTCCTGTCAAGTGTTGTTTTTGGTTGCAAGTATCTGGAACACAGAGGCAGATGTTTTTCAGGATGTTGACGAGGCTTCTGTTTTTAAGGTACATATGATGGGACCCAAACTCTCCTGGAGAGTTCAGTTCATTTCCTGAACCGTGTACCTGTTTTAGGTACATGTTTATTCAATGTGCATGGATATTTAAGATTTGCTGGAGCAGGCTGGGCTCGGTGGCTTACATCTGTAATACCAGCACTTTGGGAGGCCAAGGCGGGCGAATCACCTGAGGTCAGGAGTTCCAGACCAGTCTGGCCAACATAGTGAAACCTTGTCTCTACTAAAAATAGAAAAATTAGCCGGGTGTGGTGGCGGGTGCCTGTGATCCCAGCTACTCAGGAGGCTGAGGCTGGAGAATTGCTTGGACCCAGGAGGCAGAGGTTGCAGTGAGCCGTGATTGTGCCACTGCACTCCAGCCTCAACGACAGAGCGAGACTCCATCTAAAAATAAACAATAAAAGATTTACTGGAGCATGCATCAGAGCTTCTCTGAAGGAAGTAAAAAAGAAATTTTAAAGAAAACAATTTAAAAAAAATTTACTAGAGCAAATCTTTATCCATCACACTCCAGTTTTGTCATTAGATACTGGGACATGAATCTGTTTTAGCACAGGCGATAAATAACCTGGGATGTTATCTTCGTCTTCTTTCCTTTTGTGCATTTGGCCATACCATGTTTAGGTACTAAAACAGCTTTGCTCATGTTGGCCAGGGGAAGATGGACGTTCTGTGCACAAAGCCAGTGATTGCCGGCCCTGCCTCGGCCCTGCCCTTGTTTGTGGTCATTGTAAGATGCCTGCACGTTAAGGCTTAAGCTGTCACTGGACTGGGTGTAATACCCGCTTCATTCCTCCTCCCGCCCTCTACCTGAATCATGAAGGGCACTGTGCTCTATTGAGATCTTGGTAAGATCATCATTTTAACTTGTATTCCTCTGAGGGAGGTACATGTTATCTGGGTGCTGGTGGATTGAGACCTCAAGCATCAATTCAACATTGCTGTCGCAAATATGCACAATTTTTTTCCACTTTAGGCTCCGAAGCCAATTTTAGAGTTTGATACACTCCAGTGAAAGATGTCTTCATTTTTATTGAAATAACCTACAGTCAGTAGGTGTCACCTCAGGGTAGAATGTTATTTAAAATCTGATAGAAATCCTAGATGCTAGATTTGAAAAACTCCTGGTTTTTATTGCATATCTTTCACCTTCATTTGGGCACATCTTAACCCAAAATAATTGGAGGTTTTTGTTCCTTATAGGCTACTGGGATTGGGCGTCTCCCTCCCTGCCCCACCACATCTCTTTGTTTTTGCTCTCTGTTGTATGTGGAAAAGTGTGTTTTTGTAGCACGTCTCACACCTATAGAGAAACCTTTTTATATCTTCAGGGCTATAGAATATATTACTGCAACATTTCACTGAATGCGATGTAAAAACATTCTGATGAAAACTGGTTGTTATAATTAAGACTCAGTGTTTAACATATCTTAATCAGTGTTAATTTCCCAATGTTTCAGTATCACAATAAATAACTTGTTTTACTGAGAACAGAAAATAATCCAAAAAACGAAAGGGACCTGCCATCTCTAGATTGCTAGAATTGTATGGGTGTGTTGGGGTTGGTTTAGTGATCTCTTCTTGACAACCTAGCAAATATGCTTTTGTGGAGTGTAAACCTTTCATAAATGTACTTTCCAGGCTGGGTGCAGTGGCTCACGCTTGTAATCCCAGCACTTTGGGAGGCCAAGGTAGGTGGATCACTTGGGTCGGGAGTTCGAGACCAGCCTGGCCAACACAGTGAAACCCTGTCTCTGCCAAAAAAAAAAAAAAATAGCCAAGTATGGTGGTGGGTGCCTGTAGTCCCAGCTACACAGGAGGCTGAGGTGGGAGAATCAGTTGAACCCAGGATGCAGAGGTTTCAGTGAGCTGAGGTCGCGCCACTGTACTCTAGTTGGGGAGTGAGACCCTGTCTCAAAAAAAAGTGTATATATATATATATACACACACACTTATATACATACATATAAGTTTGTATATATACACACATATATACACACCTTTCAATACCAATCGGCATTACCTGCCCTTTGGTTTCTTTTGCTTTGGGTTTTGGCCCCATATCATTTCTGGTAAGAGAGCACAGCAATAGAATTTCTGGAAAGCAGAGGGCCGGGCGCGGTGGCTCACGCCTGTAATCCCAGCACTTTGGGAGGCCGAGGCGGGCGGATCATGAGGAGAAGAGATCGAGACCATCCTGGTCAACATGGTGAAACCCCGTCTCTAGTAAAAATACAAAAAATTAGCTGGGCATGGTGGCGCGTGCCTGTAATCCCAGCTACTCAGGAGGCTGAGACAGGAGAATTGCCTGAACCCAGGAGGCGGAGGTTGCGGTGAGCCGAGATCACGCCATTGCACTCTAGCCTGGGTAACAAGAGCGAAACTCCGTCTCAAAAAAAAAAAAAAAAAAAAGAAGAAGACTGTAATGTGATTTTCTGCATGCCTGGAAGGGCTGCCTTGCAGGGAGGCTATGGGCAGCTTTAGTTGTCCTGTGGCCTTGTGATTCAGCAGGCTTAGGGAGCAGTTAAGAATAACAGCTGCCAAGTGGCCTAGGCAGAATCTAAAGACATGGTTAATGCCACTTGTCGCTAGTGGAAACTCTGAATTGCTTCCTTTCTGTGACCGCGGCTACTTAAGATGCTTTTGACAATTGACATCTGCCTTACAGGTTGACACCTGATAACTTCCTGATGGGTTTCAAACTGGCTGACTTAAACAAAAAGCCAGCTCTTACCGTCAGTCTAGCGTTAAAAGGAATTCCTGAGGTTCCTAAGGAGTCAGCTACCCCACTTCCAACTTTTTATTTTTAATGGTCTATATATACCTTCTGCAACATTTTTGTTTATGGCTATTTGAATAGTTGGACTTTGACTCCTTACTTGTGAATAATAGGAATATCTTTTGCAGAGTCGAGCACAATACCCTTAATATTCATACTGGACAACCGTCAGTACGCTGTATCGTATCTGGTGTAAGCAAGTTTTATTCAGCATATTAAGTTGTGCTTTGCTTTTCCTTGACATGTAGGAGGTGCACCAGTACCAGTTTTTCTCTTGTGGTGGCTTAAAATGCTGATTGCCGTTTGCATTGTCTGCTGAGAAGCTGTGGCAGCTAATGGTATTATTGCCCATGTGTTCTAACGTCTTTTTGCAGAGTTAAAGGTTTGATTGTATCAATTTAATATCTGCATGTGTGTTTAATCTTTGAATACCGTATAATTAAGCGGATGAACTGTGATGGTCACGATGATTAGCACACATTAAACGTGCAATGAA